TGAGATCACAATTTTGGTGCCTGACATGAACTCCTCACTGACCAATACGGGGTACTTTGTGGAGTCTAAAGCAACTGGTCACCGGTTTTTTACGGACGACATCGTGATCCCCGAAGTTCAACAACCTGCAGTTGAGGATCAAGTCATTTACCTCCATGAGCATCCTGAAGCAATGCCGTTGAGACGCCATAGAACAAAAGCCAGAACCCCAGCAATTTCAATGTTCGACATTGAAGAGGGGCAGGTAATCACTCAGCGCCTCCCGGACATGTTTGAGCCGGAACCCAACTATGTGGATTCAAGGGACAGTTGGTCTCTGGAGATGGGGCAACCATCGTCCTCAAGTTCACCAAGGATGCCAGAAGATCTGGAGGCGGATTTTTGGTTCGGTGGAGGAGATGTGGAGGTGGCTCAAGCCCAGGAACAAAGCTCCAGCTCGAGAGCACCAACCTTGCGGCGTTTGCACTGCAATGTCACTGACTACATCCGGGAGGATGATGAATTTGGTCGATGCAACCTGCCTGGACCAAACGCTATGGATGGCAACGTTCCTGGTCACGAAGACCATCAGCAACAAGGAGGTCTGGGAGCCGTTGCCGGGTTGGGAAGCTTCAATCAAAGCTGAATATGATCAACTGGTGAACCACAAGACAGCGGTGATCCAGGTGACACAAAAGCAGCTGAGAGATAAGCAACTGAAGCCGGAGCTGAGATTGAGCTCCTACCGAGCAAGATGGTCCACACGAGAAAAGCTCAGTCTGGAGCGTGCCGCAGTCGGGCTGTCATCTGCGGGAACTATGCCACGGCAACGGAGCAGGATGTCTACGCAGGTGGCACTGATAGCACTCAAGTGCGGACGGCACTGAAAACAGCAGCTTTGATGGGTTGGAAGGTGATGGGAACTGACATCCGGACAGCCTTCTTGACTGCAAAGTGCCGGGATGAGATGAAGCTGGTGGCGATGACCATACCGACGGTCTTTCGAGCTTTGGGCTTGGCCAAGGAGGATGAAGTTTGGCTAGTGGAGATGGCTCTGTACGGCCTGACAACAAGCCCTAGAGATTGGGGCATCCATCGCAACACACTACGCTGCCTCAGTTGATGTGGAGGCGAACCAGCGAGGATGGGGTGGAGGTTGTTGGCCGCCTTGAGAAGACAGCTGATGATAACCTTTGGAGGTTGGTCGAACGAGACTCAGATCACCAAGAGCTGACGACTTGCTCTTCTGTGGCGAGGAGGGGGCTGTATGTAAAGCACTGCAAGCGGTGGAGTCAAGTGGTCATGCGCAGCAGCGGAATGGGCATCAGAGTCTAAGGCGCTGAAGTTTTGTGGCACGGAGATTACAGTTGACAAAGATGGCAATGGACTACATGTGGCCAGAGCGGGTATGAGAAGGAGCTCTTGGAGGGATGGCGAACTGAACATGGTTCGGAATATCCCAACTTCAAGATCAATGAGACTGACTTTGAGGCGGTGGAGTCCATAGCCCCTGAGACCTTGAAAGAGGCACAAGCTCTTGCGGGTGGACTGCTTTGGCTGGCCACAAGAACCAGGCCAGATGCGTCGTTTGGAGTCTCAACGATGGGCAGGTCGATGTCCAAGAACCCGCAGAAAGCTTTGGAGGTGGGTCATGCGCTCCTGAGCTACATCAAAGTGAACCCTGGAGACTTCCACTACTTCAGGGACATCCCAATGATGGCTGGGGAGCAGAATCAACTGAAGCTGCGATGAGGCCACCGCAGTCTGGAGATCTTCTCAGCATAGCCTACGCTGCAGGCACTGGCCATCGCAGCATCCAGGGCATTGCAGTGTTTTTTGGAGGCAGCCCTGTTGGTTCGCAAAGCTCACAGCAAGCATTTGCTACACATGGCACTGCGGAGTCAGAGCTTGTGGCGTACTGTGAGAGAGTTTGTTGTACTATGTGCCATGGGGAGGAGCCGCTGAAAGCCAACCAGTTCAGCCGGGTCATCTATGGCGACAATATGGCGGCGATTGGTTTGGCCAATGGCACTACATGCCTCTTGGAGGACAAGACATCTGCGTATCAGGGCAGCGATCCTCCGTGAAGCCATTGAGGACACCGATGCGGCTTGTGCGGGACTTTGGCGGCTGCTACATCTGAAAGGTTCAGAACTTGTGGCGGATGGCCTGACAAAGCAGCTCAATGGTCAAGCCTTTTTCAAGTTTGTGGAGGACTTGGGCATCAAAAGGTCGACCTCCATGAAGCTTGAAGTGCCTCAAATGGACCATGGAAAAGGTCAATCTGGCGGAGGTGATGGTCACAGAGCGATGAAGGCCATCATGGTGGGTAGTTCGTTGGTGGCTTCTGCGAAAGCGATGGACGAGGAGGACGCAGAAAAGGATGAATATGACAACAATCTTTGTGACTGGCGCGGTCTTGATGGCGCTAGGGGCAGTCTATGCTGGGCAGTTGATGCACGAAGCTTCTCAATGCTGCTTGAAAAGACTGCGGGCTCCTGGAGATGGCGAAGTACCAATGGATCTGGCTCTTGCGAGCAAATTGGCAGTGGTCCGATGCCAACTTCATCATTGAAGGTGGAGTCACGCTTGGGCACTGGAGGCGCTTCATCTCTGACTTTGCCTTCACGATCGGGCTCCAGAGCGATGATTTCTGGAACTACATCAGAGAATATGACATCACAATCGGGCAGGAGCAGTGGTTCTCCTATGACGAGGCGACTGGCTCCGCTACCATGACTTTGACATCTCGATCGGGCTTCGAAGCAAGTTCGAGCAGCGAATGCGCCACTGTTGGGCCTGCTTCCATGTCATCCAGGACACAGTCGGGCTCCAGTGGTGCTATGGGCACTATCGCACGAGGTATGTCAAGACGCTCGGGCTCGCATGTGGTAAATCAGGTTTTTCCCTGCGCACTCCCACCGCCACTGAAAAGAGCCCTGAAAGAAAAAAAGCACGATCCAGATAGAAACCATGGAGAAAAAACAACGCCCTTTGTTTTTCTTACAATGTACACATCTACACATCTATGCTAAGTTCATGCGTGAAACCGCAGTGATACAAAATATAACATGAACAGAAACGTCATGTAGCGTAGCATCTTCATGTTGCGTAGCATCGTCATGCTGCGTAGCATGATCATGTTGAAAATTTTTACATAGAAATTCAAATAGCGTAGTATGAAGTGCAAGCGAAGATCATGAAAGTGCAAATGAAGATCATAGAGCATAGCATCAAGTTCATATAGAATCCAACTGACGGTCATAGAGCGTAGCATCAAGTTCATGTCGAAATGCAAATGAAGATCATGGAGCGTAGCGTCCAGTTCATGTGGAAATGCAACTGACGTTATTACCCCACCTTACCCCACCTTACCCCACCCCACCCCACCATCTTCATCACATGATGCGTACCTTGTCCCCGGCGGTTGCTGCCTAGAGATGTGAGTTGTGTAGCATCAACAGAAACGTAGCATCAACATGAAGATCATGAAAATTTTACGTAGAAATTCAAACAGCGTAGTATGAAGTGCAAGTGAAGATCATGAAAGTGCAAATGAAGATCATGGAGCGTAGCGTCCAGTTCATGTGGAAATGCAACTGACGTTATTACCCCACCCCAGACTACCGGATGTGGATTTGTGAGACGGTAACGAGTCCGTTAGCTAAAATAAGCCCCATCGATGTCTCGAAGTCAAGAAGAGGGATGTTGGATAGCCAAATAATTCCTCAAGAGATGCAACAACTAAGGGGTTTATGTGGTAGTCTCCAGTATGCTGCAGTTCACTCCCGGCCGGATATTGCCACGAAAGTTGCCAGTTTGCAGAAAGGCATTGGCATAACCACTGCCACCGTAGAGACGTTGATGGAAGGAAACAAGGTGCTGAAAGAAGCACAAACGTATGCCGACACGTCAGTGCATGTACGGCCCCTTCCAATGGCCGACATATGCTTTGCCAGTTTTGGAAATGCCAGTTTTGCTTCAGCAAAACAACTATCAGCTCAACAAGGACTGTTTATAATGGCTTGTACCCCCATGCTTGCAAAAAACGAGGCCTCCGAGTTTTCACCGATAGTATGGCACTCTAAACAAATAGGCAGAGTAGTCAGGTCGACCCTTAGTGCTGAAGCATACGCCATGTCCTCTTCACTAGACAAGCTCACTTGGATCAGATGTATGTGGGGCTTAAATAAAAGATCCAAAGTTTGCATGGCACCAGCCAGAGGTCGCCTTAAAGACCGAGCACTCAGGACTGATGATCACGGGCTGTAAATCCCTGTATGATCTCATTACTAAGAACGCCACCCCAAACTGTCAAGAATTCCGAACTACAATTGGGGTGATGCTTTTGAAACAACAGTCCTCCCAGCATACAGTATGCCGCTGGGCGTCGACAGCGATAATGCTGGCAGACTGCCTGACTAAGCCAATGGATGCAACGTTCCTGCGAACAGTTTTACACCTGGGGAAGTTTAGAATGCACGATGGAGATCAAACACTACGGCAAAACGCCACAAGAAAATATGGGGTAACTTGGAGAAACAATCGAACATAAAAGATAGACCAGTGTGAATAACCTGCTGTCCTTCCAATACCTTCAATGTATCCCAAGCTGTCAGGGGGCTTCTTCACCAGCTGCCGCATGCATCCATCCGTTTGCAACCGTGGACGGTTGGCTCAAGGCCACCAGCAGGTGATTGGGGAAAATAGGTCGCTGCGCAGTCGCAATAGCTGGGCAAACAGTTCTTTGGTGAAACAACTGGTGAGGACACCTCCAATTGGTTGTGAGGATTAATAGGTGGAAGAATAGGAGTCGGGGCTACCAGTGGGACTGCCAGAGGCAGTCACATATAATATATATATATATTCAGTCAGGGTCTTGCAATTATTCTTCGCCACTCGGGAGTTGAAGCTGAATGTAGCTGACTGCTTTTTTCCATCAAAAGGATGATGGTTTCTTCACAACACAACTATCAGCTCTGCATATATAGTTCTGCCCTGTTCAACACTGAGGCGCTGGCTGTAACGTTATTCGTCGGTTTGGAAGCTGCATTTCCGCCTGTTGCTGTGCGTTACTTTCTGGGTTGCATTTGATTCGTGGCCAGGATTCTCATCACGATTTCCACTGACCCTGATTGCATCAGCCACAAAGCCCAGCTCATTGAAAGGTAATCCACGGACGCGGGTTGAAGTTTCCATGTTTTCTTTGTTCCATCTCCCTGACTTGCTCCTTCAGCTGCACCTAAACCAAACCATAGCACAACCACCACTCCCGCGCACCTGATACAAATTGCTCCTGGCACCATCTCCAGCCTCGCTGGAACCCCGCCACCATTGTGTAATCCGACGCAGAGGCCCAGTGGGAGTTTCCACCCTCGGCAGAGCTGCAGCGTGGCGGACTTCACCCAAATACATCCAAATATACCATAACAATTTCAGAACAGTCGTCAATTGGTGACGCAATTGTTCACAAGGGTTTACTTGCAGCTGTCACGCGAAGGACTTCAGAAAATTCAGGTCCAAACAGGAGAGGTTTACGCGGAAGTGCGCCAAGTAATTTCAGTTGGGTGCATCAAATATCTGACACAGGTGTGCAGGCACCAAACAACTCAGGAGAATCATATACTTGAGAGCAAACGTTGGGGCCAAATGGTATGTAGTTGTGATATCTTGCGGTTGTATTCGATGAGAAAGATATCAACACATCACATTTATGCTGGACACAGGTGCAACATTTGGTGGATGTTGCTGGTGGGGATGATACTCAGACAAAATACTGACGCAATGATGAGGATACACGTTATACTCACGGTTTTGATGATCATTGATGATGATGATGATGATGATGATGATGCTGATGATGCTGATGATGCTGATGATGCTGATGATGGCTATGGCTCTTGTGTATAGAAAATAACGCTCCATGCAAGGCAAGGAAAACCCCACCCAACTTCATACGACAACCTTTCAGAACCTCTACCAAATTGGTGGCAACAGAGTGCATGAATGTACCTTTTTGGGGGGGGGCGCACAAAGTGAAGAATCCCTTCATGATCGAAAACCAGAATACCTGTGCCCTCCTCTGCCCCAGACAAGAGAAAATGTGTTCTGGTGCTAGCACGAAGAAACGGTAGCTGACCCTACTTTAGATGATAAAAGTAAAGTTTCAGCGAAGAATGGTCTTTGCGAGACAGAATTGCGTGGCAGTTGGGTCATTGGAATGTGGCCACTGAAATTTTCAAAATCTTTGTGGCCAATCCTGCTTATAGCCGCTTAATTGCGGTGCCAAGTGACATTGAAGGCTCGGATGGCTCCGGACCTGTAGCAACCGTTGAGGTAAGTTTGGCCTATCTGACAAGTCTAACTAGTTTGACAAGCCTCTTGCCCGTGCTCTGCTGGAAGCCAGGGAATGATGTATGTAAACATAACTGACTCCCAAATTTGTGCCTTGACACGCTGACACACAACAAATGTCAATTGCGGCGTGCCATATGTTTTATACCCTGATGAAGACGTATATACCGTATGTAAAAACATGAAGAATATGTTACAAGAATGCATCCCGTTGACGTTGCGGCCATCAACCAAATGAAGTTCATCTGGCGTGTTCAACAAACTGTCATATTTCATCGTGTCAGAGACAGCAAGTGTTAATTGAACGCGCGTCCAAAAAGACTATTTCGCGGATGAACCTATCAGCCCAGGGCGCCGCACCAGGGCTGGAAACTTCACTCCATGGTGTGAGCTCTGTTCCCTCCTGAACAGAATCCAACAGTAGAACCCCCTGCGGAAAAATGTGGCGAACTTCAAAGCGGATCAAAACTAACTGGAATAAAAATGCGAATAGGGGCTGTTGATTGCTGAAATCGGTTCGGAACTTATCACTAAGTATCATGCTGCAGGCACCCAACTTATCCACAACCAATGCACCGAATTTTGATTGGAATTGGAGTGAGGCAGCGTGGCCCTACGGCTTGGCCATCTCCTGCGCATTGCGATCCACCAAGGTGAAACCCTCCACCTGGGTTCCGGCTGCTACCCTGAATAGTCCATCACAAAAACATCCTTGATTAATAAATCTATTCGTACGTTATCCTGTAGTAACCGTTTGTTCATTGATGTGGTTTGTTTGTTGCTTGTTTGCTTTCCAATTCAACATGTGGGTCACATGTGCTGAACATGTATTGAAGCCACTTGAAGCACCTCAAAAAGGTCTGGCCACCTGGTTACTGCTCTCACTTGCAACATGTTGCAACGCTATTCTATCATCTCAAATGCGTCAAACGGATTCCTCTCAATCGACGAACATGCATTTCAAAACGTTTCACTTGGGATATGTTCATGGCCTGTGGCCCCGAACGGTGAGAACCACACGCTTTGTCTCCCATGATCCACCCATCGACACATTGCAATTGACTGACACCTTGCTCTGAAGCTGGGCACAGCAACGACCGGTACTTTTGAAAACCAGACAAAGCACCCATAATCGGCACCATCGAACCAATACCATCATGAAAGATGTGTTTCCACCATCACAACTGGAAGAGCCCTTGGGTCAATGGAAATGTTTCCTTGTGTGCATCCACATCCCAAAACCCGAAGTCGAACGGGCCAGGTGTTCCCAAAATCAGTATGATACCGTTCCAGTATGCTTGACGGAATCGTGGTCTCAATAAATCAATACCCGCCGGCCCCAGCCCGCGCCCCGTCAGGAAGCACAAGCCGCCAGCAGGGGCGGCGCGTCCGCCGTCCGCCCTTCACTGCCATGGGGTTTGGCTGTGGCGAGCACGGTTTTTTTTTCATAGCTTTTGTTGCGTCAGAAAGCGCCGTGGTAGGCTGCACGTTGCCACATCCGCCCTTTTTCCTGCCATGGGGTTTGAATGCGATTTTTAGAACCTTCTTTGCGCCGTCAGAAAACCATGTTATATGCAAGCCACTAGCAGGCGCACCGCGTCCATCTTTAGTGCCAGTGGCGCTTGGCTGTCAACGTTTTGTTTCCTTTCTTGTTCCGTCAGAAAGCAACGCTTTAGGCAACCCAGGCCACCACCACGTCCATCCTTCACTATAGGGTTTGGCTGTGGAGAATGCGGTTTTTTTTTGGCAAGCCGCCAGCAACAGCAGCACCACGTCTGCAGCTTTTGGGCGCCTAACTTGCTGTGCCGGACAGCATGTTAGGCATTGCAAGCCTTCCGCAGCGGCACCAGCACGTCCGCCGTTCTTTGTCATGCAAACGCGGTTTGTTCGTTAGGCTTCCCTGCCATTGAGTTTGGCTGTGGCGAGTTCAGTCTTTGGTGCCCTTCTTGTTCCGTCAGAAAAACAAAGATGGCTGTGGCGAGCGCAGCTTTTGGGTACCTTTATTGTAGCGTCAAACAGCAACGCCATGGGGCTTCGCTGTGGTGAACGCCTGTTTTTTGGCACCTGTCCTGGTGCGTCAGAAAACAACCTTAGGCAGCGCCACCAGCAAGCGCACAACGTCCATCATTCACTGCCATCCTGCTCCGAAGGAGAAAAATGGGCCGCCGACCGTCCAAAACCTTTTTTGGGGCCAGATGGTCCGACGACATGGCCGCAAGATGCCCAACATGGCCAAGTGGCCCAAGACGGCCTCAATAAGCCTCAACATCGGCCATCTCTGTGTTTAGGTGTTTTTTGGCCGTTTGTGGCGTCGGCCTGAAACATGACCACAAGATGGCCCATCGTCCAACATGGCTCAACATGGGTCAAGTTGACCTGCAAAGTTTCAGCGTGATCTATCTTGGCTTCCAACTGTGCTGCGATCAAGAACAATGTGTTTTAAAGGGGGGCTGGCCGTTTTGGGACGCAACAAGGCCGCAACATGCCCCCAAAATAGTGCCCGTGGCCCCAACAAGCCCCAACTTGGCCCTACATGTCCCCAACTTAGCACCTCAACATGGCCCAAGCCGCCCTCGACCCCTTCCCCCCTGTAATTGTTTCTATCCCTAAAAAAAATACTGCGTTTTACCCCGTTTTTGGGCAAAATTCTTAACATGGCCCCAACATGCCCCGAACATGACCAAAGATGGGCCCAACTCCCAACATGGCCTGAAGATCGCCTAATGTGGCCACACCATGCCTCAACACGGACCCACAACCACCGCAACAAC